TAAAGGCTAAATCTCGTTGACTTGGTAAAGACCAAGACTTTGGTCTTTTATTTTACTTTCATTTATTGATAGAGCACAAGCCTTAAGGCAAGTACTTGTCATTCTTTTAGTATTGATAGCAAGGGCTGCTAAACCCTAGACGCGTCTTTTACTAGCTTGGTCTTCTTTCCATGACTCATAAGCGGAGTTATGTCGGGTCTAGATAAGGATGACTTCTCCATCCCCATCTCCCGTTTCATTAGTTATTTTTGAGAAATCTTGCACAAAATTTTGTGGGGAGCGGGATATAGATTTTTCATTGGAAACTCGGGAGGATCGGTTCTGTGTGGGAAATGTTTCTCGTTTATTTTCTTGAGGATCGGTTCAGTGTGGGATAAGGAATTTCAAATTGAAAGTTATTAATTAAAGGTAAATCTCCTTTGAAAAAGAAAATTGTTATTTCCTAACGTTTCATAATTCATAATACAAATTTTTTTATTTTTGATTTTTTGAAAATGATACCGCTTCGTATTGAGAAGTATGTGAGAAATATTAAAAAAAAACTAAATAAAAGTGCTTCAAGAAATGGTGGTAATTACAAAAGAGAGGAGATTTTTATGTCCAAGAAGAGGCTAAATTATAGAATCATCCCAAAGATGAGTGTAAAATTGCAATGTATTATATTAGAGAAAATGTAGTTGTTACACTCCAACCAAACACTCCAAAGAAGAGCTTCCATGACATTGCTTCAAATCATTCATAATACAAATTATCAAAAAATCATAATACAACAAATCAATTCACAATTTAAAATTGTCATAAGTCTCAAATGTAATTAACACACTAGCAATATCTTGTAAACAAAAAATAATTCTAGAATAGCAGCCTCGTTAGGGTTTTTTTTAGTATGGGCGGGAACAGGGATGAATAATGTATATTTGTCATCTCCATCTTTCTTAGGTGATATAGACAAAATATCCTCCAATCTGTCATGCGATGAGTCTATTCCTTACTTGATTTAGAACATATCATACGATAAAAGATAACATTCTATAAATAAGTTGCCAACATGAATATATAGTTTAGAGGTAATTGATATGTGCTCCTTCTCTTGCGAGGTTCAATCATCCATATCAATAATATATATATATATATATATATATATATAATTTGGTTAATTTTTTTATTCATAAAATTAAAAAATTCTCAATCACTCACGGGCTGGTGTGCTTTCTCCATTGATTTTCTTCGATACTCTATTCTATTCTCTTATCTTGAGTTCTTTATTTTTTAGATAAAAAAAATAATTGTGACATTTATTGGTCACATGTGGACCCAAGATAATTGTGACATTTATTTTAAAGAAGTGTGACTAAATCTATATTATATATCTTGGGCAATAAGTTTTTCTGACCTGGTTGGGTTCTGGAAATTACGATAGTAGGTCTCAATTAATTGATGGAGACGAGACAATGTAATTATAACAAAATTGTAAAGTGGAAATTGAGCCGTGTCCCACTACAATTAGTACTTTCTTGTCAATTCGCCATTTTTTCCTTTTTTTTTTTAACTTGAGAAATTGTCAATTCTCCTTGATTGTTCTCTCATTGAATTATAACCAACATGTTAAATGTCGATGTCCATAGAAATGTCGAGGTATTATTTTCATAAAAATATGGATAAAATGTTGATGTCGATGAATATTTCTATAAAAGTTAGAAAAATTAAAAAATCGTAAAAAATATTTAAATTAACAAATAAACATTTTCTCATTTCTAAATGAGTTATAAATAACTAATATTAATATTATGTATATATTAGTGACATTTTGTTGATATTTTTCATATTTTGTCGATTTTCTTGTACTATGATGGAAATGTTCATTTATCCCTCATGTCGATGTCGAACCCATGAAAACATGGATATGTCAATAGAAATGCGGTGGGTATTCTTAATTTTTTTTGTAGCAGAAAGTTTTCAATATGTAGGAGGTGGTCGAATCTCGTCTTATATCTTATTGTATTTAGCTTATGTATTCATTTTTTTATTATTAATTTACTTTGTTTTTTTCTAACAGCATTTACCAATTTCTCATTTTTTATATATCTCCATCGTTTATAGTCGAAAAGAATAGTCACAAAAGAGGTTTTTCAATAGAAATGTCGACGTGTTGAAACCTCTCCACACCAAGAAATTTTATTTTCTCCTGATCATGAAGATTAAAAAAAAAGAGAGAGAGAAACAAATCAGTTGGAGACTTAAATTTCAGTGTCTGGCTAACGAGGAGAAATTTATGTTCACCCCCACTTCTATGTAAGCTTTTGAAAAATTAAAAATTTACCTCGAAAATTTTAAGAGCTACACAAGAGGTTAATAAACCTCCATCACTCTCCTCTTATCTAGAGTTACATTCGTTTTCTCCCTCAAATGTCAATTCACATACTTACCTATGAGGTATTTTCTATTCACCACAACTCACTCTGTTTCTACTAGAACAAAGAATAAGAAGAAAATAGAAAAATAAAATAAAATAAAATCTCGACCATGGGTCAATATACCGACTGAAATCCAGAATCAAAAGAAGAAATAACATTTTTAAAAAAATGGTGAATTAACTCTTTTTACGATTGTTGATAATAGAAGACTTATAAATTAACTTAACTTTCCATATTCAAACTCTTAACYGCACATACATTTATTAGTGCATTTAAATTTCCATTCATCCCTAACTAAATTTCCACCCATTGCCSTTTAAATTTATACTTAAAATGTCCATAAAATGTTGATGTCGATGAATATTTTTATAAAAGATTATAAAAATAAAAAAATTCATAAGAAATATTTAAATTAACCAATAAAAATTTTACACTTTTTAGGTAAGTTAACAATTATTAATATTATATCTAGTGATATTTATAGATATTTTTTCATATTTCGTCGATTTTTTTGCAATAATATGAAAAGGTAGATTTACAG